CTCGAGCCATGTGTTCTCCCAAAAATCCTTCACCCCACCCCCAAGGCGATAAAAACTGACTGGCCCTTAACAAAATAAACGATACACATACTTCCGACAGGTGGTGCAAATAGAACAATTTTATTTTTTTGTATTGTATTGTTTTGTTTGTTTGTTTGTTTGTTTTTTTCTACTCAACTATCAGCTTTCCGACTTAATATGTTTATGTCGACAACACACCTAAACGATGATAGCTTTTATAAATTTGCTAAGCACCCTAAGGCTACACCAGCAGAGTATTTTAAGTATTAATTTGAGTAATTGTCTTATCGTTGAGAAATTAGTTTTCAAACCTAGAAAACTCGAGATTTTATTGCGTTGACAAAAATGAAGAACGAGCGAGCATGGGTATGAAGGGCAGAGAAACATACGGATTAAAAATGCAAAACCATTGACGAAGCCCTTCAAAACACAAGCGAAAATAATTAAGAAATTCTGCATAATAAATCGTTTCAAATCAATATGACACCTGCTCATTGAACATTTAATAAAACGCCAAGAATATAGTTAAAAAGCGGAAGAGTTGAAAACAGGTCTGATTGACGCTGCAATATTTGTCAAGTGAAACATCAGGCGACGAGTGGAGCCTTTTTATCCAATAGCAACCCCTGATTGAGCAACACACTGCGACAGGACGCCTATACCGAATAGTTATCGTCAGTAAAAGGTTCATTTACTGAAAAAACAAGGAAAGACAAAGCCAGACGTCTGAACGTAAACACCAATGGCCAACATTACAAGGCCCTCATCACAATTACCAATTGGTGTCCTAACATCTCTCCTAGCTTTCAACATTATCCTCTCCTTCACTGCATCTCTGGGTAATGTTCTGATCCTGTTGACAATTTATAAAGTTTCCTCTCTGAATCCTGTGACAAAGCTCCTGTTTGCATGTCTGGCAACTACCGACCTTTGTGTGGGTCTTTTTTCGCAGCCACTGTTCGTAGCTGATATAATACTTAACATTGATCTCGGCAACACCGACTTGGATATTTTGTACTACGTGGACGAAGTTGTTTATATCTCCAGTTATGTGTTGTGTGGAGTGTCCGTGTTGATATCGACAGCCATCAGTGTTGACAGACTTCTTGTCCTGTTGTTGAGGCTAAAATACAGACAGGTTGTGACACTGAGGCGAGCTCAAGTTGTTATACTTCTATGCTGGGTAATTGCTGTTTCATGTGGATTGGTTCGTGTGTGGAGTCAAACGGTTTCAGAGATTGTTGTTTTTGTGGCCGGTTTGGTATCTTTAGTTACTTCTGTGCTTTGCTACGTAAAGATCCACCGAAGACTACAGGGAAATCAGGCTACAGTAGAGGACAGCTCTGGGGGTGGACAGTCAAACGCAGGAGAAAAAGTGGGTGAAGGAGAGGAAGGGGTGGGAAGAGCCGCAGAGGACGGAGTAGGGGAAACAACAGGGGCAGGTAGAGATACAGAAGAAGAAGCAGGCGCAGGAGTAGAAGGCACAGGAAGAGCGAAAGAGGAAAGAAGTGTAAGAACAGGGACAGCAAGAGTATTACAAAAGCGAAGAATTCAAGAAAGAGTTCGGCTGAATATCGTACAATATAAGAAAATAGTTTTCAGTATAATCTGGTTGCAGTTGACTTTAGTGGCATGCTATGCCCCTTTCATAATCGTGTCATTATTGAGACATACAGTGCTCAGTGGAACAACAATTCATGGTGTTTGGCTGTTTACAGCAACTTTAGTTTACTCAAATTCATCTCTGAATCCCTTTCTTTACTGCTGGAAGATCAGAGAAGTTAGGATAGCAGTAAAGAACACAGCCAAGACGTTTTGCTGTCGTTTGTAGTTCACAAAGGTTGCCTGTATTCATGCGAAAAGACTTCCTTGTTCTTAAAACATCAGAATCTCACACAAACCGTACCGTTGATACTTAAACAACAGTTCAGTAAAACCTAGTTAAACAGCCTATGCTGCCTCGAGTCTTCTATATCTCAGTGGTAGAGCACCCGAAGTAGACTAATCGGTAGATCGTAGGTTCATCATCTCTCACTTAAATAACAGACTTCAAAGATAACCATCGTCTACAATTCAATATCATAGCAGACTGGGGAATAATCGACTACTGACAAGCTATAATTTCCCTCACAGAGTCGAAAACTTAATTACCATGTAAAGAGGAGTTATGTAGAATTTTTATCCTTTACCAGGAGGAAGAAGAACTAACATCCATTAGTCTTTATCGTTTAAAATAACATACTTAAAGTAATTGATTAAGATTTTTTCCACTTTCTACTTCGAACCAGTATTCTAATATGTATTTAACGATTGCAAGTAAATAAAAAAAAAATTTCCGTTAGGTTAGATCATGATTTAGTTCGATATGTCGTGTCTTTGCTTAAGTTACTCTAAAAACGGGAGAATGGACTGATTAAATCGTGTTCAGTGAAGTTAAAAACAATATTTTCTTTTGAAACCTTTTGACAGTTACAGTTAGAAACATCCAAGTGCGCGTGCCCCTCAGTCCGTACGCAGGCGGCGTTTTCAATCGAGGAAGAGTGTTATGTCATCGGATCGATGCTTTCTTCTCCATCCATACATTTGAAGCATGCAATTACTTTTTTTCAGCTGCGTACCTCGAATATTTTCAAGAATTTATTTCATTGACCAGTTTAGAATATCATGTTGTTACAGAAAGGACTAGCCCCTTTGTCTTGCGATAACTCTGTCTTGTCCATACTAGATTTCAAGGAGCTACAACTACTGTTATATGGCAAACGACAAACCTCTCGGATAGTAGTTGTTTCAGAATTCCCTTAGCACGTGCCCCATCTTCACCAGTGGATCCAGTTTTATGCTGCAGGTGCATAACAGTAGTGACATAGTACTTCTCCAAGGTAGTAATAGCGCGGTAGCTGCTTGCCAGCCACCTCGTCTTCTGCAGGCCGCTGTAATAGACTGCATCTTCATCGATTAT